TAAATAGAAGATTTACCATATCAATAATCTCATTGTTCTTCCTCTATAATCCTTTCAATTTTGTTCTCTCTAAACCTTAACTTTATTCTACATCCCCTGAATTTCTATCAATTATCTTCTAGCCTCCCCCTCTTAAATTCAGTAATCTCAATCCAATCCCAATTCTTCGTTGTCCAGTAATTTATTGATTTTCATTATTTTGCCTAATTCGCTTCTAATCCAACCCCAATTCTTCCTCATCTGATACTTTATTTATTTTCTTTATTTTTCCTAATTCTCCTCTGACCATATCTTTATCTTAATCAATCTCGGATTCTAAAATCCTCTCTCTCGTCAATTGGTATTATAGCCTAGTTACCCTTGCACCCAACAACATCATCTATGTCATTCTAGTCTACACATTGATTGTTTTTAGCGACTTTGTCGAAATTTACTTGAAAGCTTTGAAGGATATATCGGTGCGAAAGAAGTAGCAAGTTTGAGCTTCGATCAATAAGGATAATAAAACTACTTTTTGGTTGATGGCAACGTGAATTGAGAATTTTCCATTCATATTTTTTAGTTAGAGCGTTTCTTTTTGTCGTTATTAGTTCATTGTGGCAGCTGAAGTTAATTGGAAGTGAAAGAGTGGTCAAGCCTTGAAGTGAAAGAGTGGTCATCAGTCCATCTCCTTTGAAAGTTAATTGGAAGTGAAAGAAGTTCACACAAATTCAGGTTGATTCTTTAGGGCAAAAATCTTTCTAAGGAGATGGACTGATGAACGATTAGTTAGCTATTATTATTCTTGATTTTATGAATGTTTTCTATATTTTCTCGTATTTTTAGCCACCCAAGCATTCTTGCCCCAAAATCCTAATTTTTTATTACGTCTCCCTGCATTTCTAATTCTCTTACTCTCCATATCTCATTAATTTTGGCCATTTATCTTTCTACCAATGATCAATCTCGGTGCCAAGATTCTCACTTCATCAAATCCACTACCTCCACCATTAGCAGACTCTTTCTTCTTCTCTTTTATTTTATTTAAAGCAAAATTTTAATGGTAAAACGTTTGCAAATATTATTTTGGTGCAAGTAAAATTTTCCCATATGTACAAATTTGTGCACTCGCTTATAGTATCCACGTTGTGGTGAGCATGATGTTGAACTTCAACTCCATTGCCTCAATTTTTCGGAGATAAGAAGGTGGAAGTCCTCTCATTTTGTCACTGATTTGTAATAGTTTTCCAGCAAGACATTCCACTTCCATAGTTTCTAGATTTCCCAACATCAAGGTGAGTGCAGATGAAAACAATGTCTTCGCATATGCAAAATTGATGATCCAGTAACTAACCAAGTGTGTGAACGACATTTAACTGGTATCTATCATGCTAGTAATCTTCACAATTTTGGAATTGGTGGTATTTTAAGTGCGTCCTAGATACACATGAGAGTATTTTCAATGCCAATTTGATTTTTTTTTTTTTACATTCATGAACAAATAATAACTATATTTATAAAATAAAATATTTACAATATTTAATTGAGAAATCTTGCCCAAAAAATCTACTAATGGTTAGAACTTTAAAAAATTGTATATAACTAAAAGGCATAATACCTTATTTTGACATGAACTTCAACATAAAACACACATTCGTTTTGGAATAATTAATATATTTGTATGGCCCGAACTTTTCACATATTAAACATCCTGGACAATTTTTTCAATCTATAAATTCGTGGCCTCAACTATGCATGAAAGTTATGAAATTGGCCAAACCCGAGATTTGGCTGTTATCTTAGACGGTCAAACGCATTGACTAACGGTCAACGCGCCACGTCATTGCCAAATCATCATAGATCACTTAAAATTTTTGGCTTTTCCACCATTTAACATTTATCTTTATTATTTTGAAAAAAAGAAGAAGGAAAAAACATTCGGGTCCCTTTAATATGGAAATATAGGTGGGAAAAATAAAAATATTAAGTGGTTTGTGATGACGTGGCGGATTGACCGTTAGTCAACGCGTTTGACTGTCCAAGATAACGGTCAAATCTCGGGTTTGGCTAATTTCGTAACTTTGATGCATGCATAGTTGAGGCCACAAAGTTATAGATCGAAAAGATTGGTCAGGATGTTTAATATGTGAAAAGTTCGGGCCATACAAATACAAAGATATTAACCCAATTTGGAAACAGATAGACAAATTTGACCCAAAATTTAGGTTGACTGTTAATATTGAAGGTAAAACATTTCTTTTGTCTATGTCTATCATATTATGATGAGGTGGTTGCGACATGGCTTCCACATCATTTATTTTGAGCTAAATTTGTTCTTTTCTTTCAAAATTCAGACAAACTATCTTATTTGAAAATTCTTCCCAAAATTTTCTTTCACGTCAAAGTTCAAGCCAAAATAGGGTATTCTCCCTTTTTTTTAAATAAATTATGCGAAAGACACTTTGCACCACCTCATAATGGATTTTGATTTTAATTTATGGATTTTCTTTTAGTCTGCTTGAATAAGAAATGGGCCAATAACAAATTAAGGCGAAACCTATTGTAGAACCTATGTATAACGTCAAAGCAGGGCATAAAAATGGTTGTCCAAAAAGACTAAAGAGCCCCTCCTTAAATTGCGCAGAAGCTAGCATTTTTCCAATTTCATATGTTCTCACCCGGAATGTCCATATAGTATTGGGAGGATTTGGAGGATGAGTCGATGATGCTATTGAGCTTTAGTTATGGGCCTAATAAAAGGCCTTAATGATGAGTTGCGGAACGAGCACTTTTACTATGTTATATAGTATTGGTGTTTTAATGTACAACTTAAAGTTGTACCATAACATTAAATGTATAAGTTTAGATTGTACCATTATGTTATGGTACAACTTTACAACTTGAAGTTGTACCATCACATAAAGGTACAAGTTCAAGTTGTACCATAAAAGAATATGTACAAAAAGTATAGGTACAATCTGAAGTTGTACCATAAAGTAAATGTACAATTTTAAGTTGTACCATAAAGGCAAAATCCTATAGGACCAATACTATATAGCATTGTAAAATTTCTCGTTGCGGAACTGCCACCTTAACTTGTGCATTTAGGCGGGGTGACAAGGAAAAAGGGAACGAACTGGCCACTTTACCCCTGACGAAAATTAAGGAGAGAGTAAGATTTTTTGAATGGTGAAAAGGTTGTAAAACTCCACCATTAATTATTCTCTAGATAGATAGTTTTTTTGGACAAAACCTGCGCATAACTTTATTGATTAATCAACACTGTTACATCATCAAGTTTCAGCTGATCAATCAAGAAAATCAGTGGGCGTTCAAACCACAACCCCGACTCATTCCACCTAGTCTCCGTATGGGCCATAATGTGAGCTGCGCCATTCCCACTTCTTCCCCATTAATCATAAAACATTGTTGATCACTACCCGTATGAGGTTTACTAGTCCTCGGCAGTTTTTAAAAGTTATTCCATCGAAATTGGTCCTACTATACGATGGGTACGCAATAGTTAAAAGAGAAAAGAGGTTGTTTGTGCCAAAAAGTGTGGTTGAAGGGTGTATGCTAGTTGGTATGGGAAAAGAAAGACATTTATGGTCAAGGGTGTAGGGACACCACATGATTTGCCACGTACATTTCACATTTGGGGTGCTACTACCAAGTGGATAGCTACTGAATATCTGGAGCGGTTTAGGGTGTAGCAAGATTGAGATGTGAATCTGATGGCAGCTGAGATAAAGCAGAAGGACAACCTGAAGATGACACAAAAAGCTTGTTATCGAGTTCGTTGGAAGCGAGACGCATTCTCCACGACTCGTTACAGGAATATTACCATCGAATGTGGTCATATATACAGGACATCTTCAAAGTGTGGACCAGGATGAAAAATTTCTTCTAGAGGTTAATTTAGAGCATGGATCCAAGAAGGTCTACTTCAAGTTATTTTATGTGGGCTTTTCAAGCGTGTGTCGAGGGTTCTTGGAGGGATGTAGCCCTTTTTTCTGCCTTGATGGATGATTTTTGAAAGTGAGGTTAAAGGAATGCTACTTAGTGCTGTCGGAAAAGACGGAAACAATCACATGTACCCAATAGTGTTGGCAGTTGTCGAGTATGAGAATGAGAGCTCGTGGACATGGTTTCTTCAAACATTGCAAGAAAAACTACATCTGTCTATATGGAAATCGTTGGACAATTATTTCTTACCAACAAAAAGTATTGGTTACTAGTCCATATCTTGCTTTTAATTTGACTCTACTGTGCATTTAACTTTTTCGTATTATCTTGCTATATATTTTCATTAACTTCACTAGAGTTTATGGGGAATGAACTGGATATGTTGTGTTTACTTAGCCTGAAGCCAACATACAACAAAAGTATAACGCAAAGAGTACCAAAAGGTAGGGCTGGCTATTTGGACCGGGACCGGATGAAAAACCGGAAACCGGACCGTATAACCCGGACCGAGACCGGACCGGGACCGGATAGTAAACAATCCAATCCAATCTTTGGGCTTAGATTTGAGGTAAAAAACCGGATAAAGACCGGATAAGAGAGCTCAACACCCAAAACTTAAGGGTAATTTGCATAAACGGTTACAAGCCTTTACACTTAGTACAAAACTTAACCAACTCCTCACCCTTTTAGGCCTTAGGCCACTCAAATTCCCACAATCTCAATATAAAATCAAGACCGAATTGGGACCGGACCGGGTCAAGACCGGACCGGATCAAGACCGGACTGTATCCAATCCAATCTTCGATCCTTATATTCTAAAAAAACCCGGACTGGACTGAATCAATTTGGGCCAATTTAACCGGACCGGACCGTATAGCCACCCCTACCAAAAGGGGCAGCTCATCCAAAAAGGGGGAGTTAAAACCAAACTATAATAACAACAATGGCAACCATCAGCATCCGCGCTTCTCCTTCTCCCTCCCAACCACCACCGCCACCTCCTCCGCCGTCAACTCCCTCCGTCATCACCCCACAAAAGAGAAAACGTGACAAGAATGGGCAGCTCATCCAAGGACTATTCCGGCAGCGACGGCGAGGCTTCCAGCGGCGACACTCCGCCTCCTGACTCCACCCGCTTCACCGAAGGCGAGCGCGTCCTCGCCTACCATGGTCCTCGAATCTATGAAGCCAAGGCATCTCTTTCTCCTCCCTAAGTTATGGATTTATTCAACTTCCTAAGCTCGGTTTGTACTAGCGGCTACTGCTAGACCTTGAATCTTCCTCGATTGCGCAAGATCCAATCATGCTTCCTCTTCTTCTTCCCCCGATTCTTCTTTATTTTCGAATTTAGATTCTGTTGGGTTGACTACAGTTGTGGCCGATACCGCCACCGAGAATAAATAAGACAATTTCTCAGCACCTAATCATATTATACCAGCATTAATCGCTGTGGTCGAGGCGATTTCCCTCTGGTTACGGCGCTTGTCGTTGGATTGCCACGTTGTCGTCGCGGCATGGCTGCTCTTCTTTGTCATCTAGATGACATGTTTGCGGTCAGTGGGTGGGACTATTATTGATAATTATACATCTCAGGCAAGGATTGTCTACAATCGTTAGGAGCTAATCTTAGAGAATGGTCTTTCTTTACACATTTTCTCAAGGTTGTTGTGAGAACCACGCTTCTAGGGATTCTCGATACTGATCTTCGGCACTCGTAATAATTAGGGATTTAGGGTTTGAGAGAAAGAATTAGGGATTTAGATGAGGAAGAATAGAATTGGGAATCGACCGAGGCCTTGGACTAGGATGAGACGAGAAATTAGGAGTTGAGAGGATAAACTAGGGTTTATGAGATTTTGCTTAATATTCTTCTTGATTGATTATGACGTAAACCCAAAGTACATATTTATAGGGAAATACTGGAAAAGCCTAATAATAATAATCCTAATACGACTAAATCTCTACTAACTCTAATTATAATTATCCTACCTAATATAATAGAAACTCTAAATAAATGTGTTTCTGACAATCCATCCCCCTTGAAACCAACCTTGACCTCAAGGTTGTAGTTGACTTCTACCTCCTTGACCTTCCGCTTTCTTCGTTTCCAATTGCGCTCGATCCCTTGAATGAACTCTTCTCGCGTCCGTCCAACTTTCCTCGACTCTCCTCCACCCACGTGACATATGCCACGTTCTACATAGCCGAACAGTTCTTCTTCCTCTCTTTCGAAGTCCACGAAATAAGAGTCGGAGAATTGTTTTTGCTCCATAATTTCCTTCATGGCCTTAATGGTGAAAATAAGTTCTTTTGGGCTCCATTCTTCTCCAAGTTTGTTTGAATTAAGCTTGATGGGAAGCCCAACTCTTAACCCAAAGGGCTCATCACTTTCCTTCTTTAACTTCTTTTCCTGCAAAAGAAATCCAACAATATAGCACATTAGAGGCCCAAATCTCCCTTGAAAACGCGGCCCACCGTTTCTCCACAAACATGTGACGATCTGGGCTTCTCCCTCAGCTGCTGCTAGCCCATGATTCTTCTTCCATTCCTCAGCACATTGGCCCGCTCCGCTTGGCCCATTAGCATAGGAGACCTGAACGACTTGGCCCATCGAAGTCGGCGGCTGTCGCTGAGTTCCCTGGCCCTATAGCAGCCTAGGGTTGGAGCGGAGAGGGAATCCGCCGCCCTCCTTCTCCGGTAGCGTTCTCTCCGGCGCCTCCCCTCCCGGCGGCGACACACCCAGCAAACCCCAGAGAGAGTCGCGCGCGTCCGGCCTGGTCTTCTTCTCCGAACGCGTCTCATCGTCGGTCTTCTCCTTTTTCTGCGGGGCTCTCCTCTCCTCGATCTCCGGCGAAGACTCGCTTGTCCGGCGACACGGAGACCCACGCGGTTTCGAAGACCGCCTTTCCCTTTGGCTTTTGCTTTTCCGGCGGCACCACGAAAGCAACCGCCGAGGACTGCTGCTTCCCTCGGGCGCTTCTTCTCTCCGACGAGTGCTCCCGATCTGTCCCCTCTCCGGTTTCCTTCTTCCTCGACGCTTCTGGCTCCTCCGGCGATGAGCAGCCACGTAGGCGACACAGAGGCCAGCCGACTTCCATCGTCGTCTCCGACTCCTTTCCCACGTCGTACGCCTCTTTCCTCTCTTCCTTTGGCGGCGGCGCATTACCCAGGCGGAAGGAAGGCAGGCCCGATCCGGAGACCTTCCTCTCGTCCTCCGTCCCGATTCGCACGCAGCCTCGTCACCAGCAACCAGCACCGCTTCCTTGTTGCGATCTCCCGCTGTCTCGTCCCCCACCATCTGCATCTTCGTCTCCGCCTCAAATTCCGATGGTGGCTCGACCTCCATCGACTTCCTCTTCTTCAATTCGCCACCAGGTGTCGAGCTATTTCCGCGACAAGTAGGCGGATCTGCCACTTCTTCCTTCACCGGCTCCATCGACGCGGCGACTGCGCCTTTGGATGGGGCTGCCCGCGCGATGTTCCCGGACAGCGTCATGGACGAGGCAACCTCGTTCTTCCACACCGCTTCCAGCTTCGACTTCAACATCTTTGTGAGTTCGCTGATCAAGAGCTCTTCGAGTCTCGACATGGTTCTGGTACGAGTGCCTGCAACCAGGCTCTGATACCACTGTGAGAACCATGCTTCTAGGGATTCTCGATACTGATCTTCGGCACTCGTAATAATTAGGGATTTAGGGTTTGAGAGAAAGAATTAGGGATTTAGATGAGGAAGAATAGAATTGGGAATCGGCCGAGGCCTTGGACTAGGATGAGACGAGAAATTAGGAGTTGAGAGGATAAACTAGGGTTTATGAGATTTTGCTTAATATTCTTCTTGATTGATTATGACGTAAACCCAAAGTACATATTTATAGGGAAATACTGGAAAACCCTAATAATAATAATCCTAATACGACTAAATCTCTACTAACCCTAATTATAATTATCCTACCTAATATAATAGAAACTCTAAATAAATGTGTTTCTGACAGTTGTCTTCTTGTTTTGGAGCTCTACCTTCTCTTCTCACCGGAGTTTTGGTCCTCGAATGGTGCTGATAGTGGCTGCCCGGTTGGGAATTGTTTGTGGGCAGTAAAGCTTCGTGGAATCGGTAGGCTTTCCCGCTGTGGCAGGAAATCACTGGTCAGTGTCAACCGCCATTGAACCGTTACGCTTCCCCTCTATCCTATTTACTCTCCTTTAATTAGCCATAACTACTCGTTAGTGTTCAAACATGGACGGAGCTTTGCTCAATAACGGCAGGTGCCATTAAGGCCAGCTATTGGCCATTAATACAGTCTGAATCCAAATTTAATGGGCTAATTAAAGGCAAATCAATTCGAGCCTTTACTAAAAGCTTTGTGGTTTTAGTCCCATTTTTATTGCCAATAATTCATGTCATTAATGGTATTAATCACTTATTCTATGATTCCAAACGATGAAGTCTTCCTTAGCGCATCAACTATGGTTTATTATTTCTTTAGAAATAGTCAAATAGGGCTATCACCTGGCTCGTGAATAAGCTTGGGCCTCAAATAAAAAACGGATAGTCGAGAAAGCATTAAACAATTATTCTTCAGATGCCCCCTAGCCACCAGATTGTGGACTTTAGTGGGATTGAGCAACTTTATTGAGACCGCCCCGACTGTTAACTTTAGTCTATGGTGGCGACATGTCATGGTCTCTGAGACCTCCCCATTCCCCATTCTCCAATGTGTCTGCTTACTTTGGAGAATCTGGAAGTCTAGAAATAAAGTGATTTTTGAATTTTACCAATCTCATGTTCGTTCCCTAGCCAGACATTTCTACAACCAGGTCCTTCATATCTCAAACACTCTCCTCCCTCCCCAACCCCACAACTCTCTTCCCAAACCATCCAACCACCACATGGGTCTCGCCGCCAGACGATTACTTGAAGATCAATTTCGACGCTGTTGTTTGTGCCACCAGGTGTTCGTCTGGACTTGTTGTCCTTGGGTCAGACGGACATGTGGTGTTGGCATTGAGGTTACAACATCAAGGAATAGTCAACCCTTCCCTGGCAGAGCTCCTAGCCATTAGAGATGCTATTTCCATCATCACCTGAAGATCTTTGACTCACGTGATAGTCGAAGGTGATTCCGAAGTGGTCGTCAGGTAGATCCGGCAAGGCTTCATAGAAGACTCGATTGGTGGTCCGGTGCATCGAGAGTGTCGTCAGATCCTTAGCTCTTTGTCCATTTGTATAGAGTTTAGGGCGGTACCTAGAACTGCCAACAGTGCTGCCCATAGAGTGGTGCGTAAAGCACTGCTTTTGTCTCGTCTAGAGCTAAAATCTTTCTATTTTTTGGGGTGGCTTCATTAGAATATATTGTAAGGGGTCCTGGGTAGATTTGTATGAATAACTCTTGTCCTCTATTGATATCACTCAGAAAAAAAAAGAGTACCAAAAGGGGATATGAGCGATCATCCAGTAAATGCTTCCCTTAGGATCAATGGACCATAATAATATTTGAGTGAATTGAATTGCACGAAATTCCTCCTACCTTGTGTCACGACATTTACTCGACCTGATAGACAACAAGGATCATAATCATTCTCAACAAGCCCATATTAAATGATCCCATTTTTTTCATCACGTCTGGGAGACCAAAGGTCTTAAGCAACCGGTTCGGCAGAACAACTCAAAAGATCTCTCCTTTGAGATGTCATGCGGTCCAATCAATTGATAATTAATCCTAAGACAAAGCCGTGTTTAGTCTCATCCAAGTTGGAGTCGAGATTTATGAGGCTACGCCACATAGGGATGTAGCTTTTGTATAATATGCAAATAATTGACAATAATCCATACTATAACATCAACCACACTCATATAAAATAATCAATCCATACCCCTAGGGTTTTACATAATTTGAGCAATTTAAGGTTTAGTTATCCGTGGACACAAAAGAGATTACAATAGTGAAGAGATAAAAGTCAGCATAGCAACTTCCACCTCTGATCTTCACTTCCTCCTCCTTTTTCGTGCCTTTAGAGTTTCTTCAGATCGTATTCTGGTGGCTAACCGTAGGGGTAACGTAAAAAGAACTTGGATCCTGTTGCTTCTGTGAAAATAGAATTTTATACGTAATTTCTAAATCGGCGTGGTTTTTAGTCGGCCATAGCACCAAATCGGCGCCCAGACCATCAATTTTGGCTTCTCCCAGTTCATCTCACTTTTCCGGATTTTGGGCTG